GCACTGAAAAAACAATATGAATAAAGGCTGATAGTTTCTAAAGAAACTGTTTGGGGCTGCGTCAGTGGGGGTAATGAAACAATTTGGATATATCAACAAAGTTGAAATGGTAAATTGGCCATCGTAACAATTACAAAAGCTGACGTTTCAAGCGTTAGCCCTTCGTCGGAGCAAATAGAGGAATTGTGGGTTGAGTGTGCTTTTAAAGGCAGAAAATGGAGCTACGTTATTGGTGGGAACATGGGAACGAGAAAAACATGAATAAATTAGTGGTAAGGCCCCACAAACAAGAGCAAATTACAAATTAACTTCTTTTTAAGCAGCAAGAGGTTTTACCACAAATTCAGACAAATGCATTGAATGTTGCAGTATAAGATGACCGCATTGTACCTGTTTTCTCGTATCTGCTGGGTCAGCTTCTGGTCACGAAGACTCTCTAGCTTCATCTTTTCAAGCTCCTGCATAGAGCAAAATTGATACAGCAACTTGTTTAACATAAAATGACTGATGAGCAACAGACCTGGTTCAATGACTTCACATGGTCTACATGTATCTTTTAATAAAATTAATCAATATTTAGATTCAAAAGATGACCTCTCAATGCTTCAGAGAGCCCACCATTCATTTAGGGCCTGTTTACATAGAGATAGGGTCACCCTACCAGAAGGGTCAAAACATAGCCTTCCTTTACTTACAAACTCGGCAAGCAAGGGTTACCTGTGGGTAGGGCTAGCGTTACATGTGGCTAAGTCGCTAAGCTTTGTAAACAACAAAATGGCAGGCAAGGGTTCTCTTTTGGCACTATATTCAGTTTTTCTCTCTTCAGCATCCTTGAATGCAGTTTTTCAGTGCTATGGCCCATTATTATCTGAATGCCAATAGCTCAAAGGCATCACCAAGGCCTTCTGACATTTCAAGCCACTAACCAGTACTCTAACGTTAGCAAGACTACGCTATCAGCAAAGAAAAATTGTTTGCAATCAAGGAAGAGTTTGGAGTTGAAGCCTAGAAAAACCGAACGATGGTGGAAGAATCTTTTGGACAGCATTCTTCCAGATACTGAATGGAGAAAACATCTCAGTATGGATCGTGAGGCATTCATGAAAATAGCAAGTGATTTATGACCATAATTATCTTAAGCAGCAAAGAAGCCCTCAAGGAAAACTAATGTGTTCTCGGTTGAATAAAAACTTGCCCTGACTTTTGTTTTTTTTGGCGCTAATTAATATTGCTTGTAGGTTAAGCTTTTCTTTCGGCGGTCTTCTGACTGTTATTGTTTGGATATAGGCTCATCGAAGACGTCAAAAAAATCGGAGGCACTGAGGCTTGATCTACATTCAGTGGGACGTCTGTACACACTTCACATTCTATGTTATTCTCATCACTTTGAAGCTCATTTGCGATAGCTTCTGCTTGATATCTTCGGAGATACTCGCAAGGTTGAATATGCACAAGACACTACTTTTTATGATCGAAAGTTTGGTGCGCAAAATACATCATTTGACATCATTTGGTGCAATTCGAGATAGCCCTTCCCCTAGGGTCACCCTATCTTGAGTGTTTACAAGGCTTAAGTAAACAAAAAGCTGACATTCATAGGAAGGTCACCCTACCCCTAGGGTGACCCTACCTGACATGTAAACACAACTCCGATAAACAATAGAGAGGGGTGACCCTGTCTCCATGTAAACAGGTCCTTAGACTGTTATTGATTGGGCAGCACTAGCAATAGTGAATAAAATAGATAATTACACATATCAACACAAAATCCTTTAAACTTTTAATTCCTAAAGGTGATTAACAAGTAACTTCTCCCTATAATATCTGACACATTGTCCAGCAAAAAGTAATGAGAATACTCAAACTTATCAAGTACATGTAGAAGTTGTTGTCTACATCAAACATCAAATTCTTGTGACAAATTTACAAGAAAATGAGTGGCATCTTAAAGAGAGATATTGACAAATTCAATAAGATTTTACTTGCTACACTTATTCCAAATTCCCTATTTTCCTTTAGTAGTCATTTCAAGGGTGAATCATGTAGTGTAAATGAGTCAAGAATTTAGTCAATTCTCAAATTTACAATTCTAGCATAATCAGTCTATAGTTAAAAATCAACACTACTCAAAGGGCTAAATTTATAGAGATATCTTACACACTATTTAAACTCAAGCCTACAACCTCTTCCCTTTTTGGTAGCACCAACGGATTTAGGCCTTATCAAAGTAACCCCATCCCTTGTATTGGGTAAGTGCATGTACTACTAACCTTGGCCAGTCTCTCCTCCTGTTCTTGTTGTCTTTCCTGAAGAATCTTTCGTTCTTGTTGCTAGTGAGAAAACACAGTATCTGTTGTTTACGCTGTGCAGTCTTATGTTATATAATATGGTTTAAGCTTTCTGAATCAGAAACAATTGCCTTTGGAAAGCAGAAAAGTTCAAAGCTGGCTGCTTTCAGACATGAGTAGGCCGAGATGTGATATCACCTTGGGGATCATTAGTAAAGCTGTTTAGTTACAGCAAAGTCTAAAAGGAGCCTTTACCATAAATATCAGAAAAGAGTATTCAGTTGGGCAACAATGACAAAGATCACAAGTAAATGTAACATCCAGAAGTAACATCACCAGAAATCATACATTTTTATCCAAGGAAGAATTTAAACCAAAGCATGCACATCTCTACTATAGGTACACGGGGATCCAGTTTGTAAATAAGACCCACACTACTTGATTACAAAGTACGAAGGTTATCAGTACCACTTGTACAAGAAAAAATGTACCCAATATCATAAATAAATACTGGATAGATGGAGTCTTTACTTTTTTAATTCCTTCGTCCATTTCTCTTTCAGTCGCTTCCTGGTGAAGTCTACGCAGAAACCGTTTGTTTTCTATCCTTTCTTCACTAGACATGTTAGCCTCCACCACACGTTCCTGGTTGATTCGCTTTAGCTGATCTTCCCGAGCAATCTCTTTCCTTCTGTTCTCTGCAAGGAGTTTTTGCTGTTGGGCATGACTTAGGTTCATTCTTCGAACAGATGCCTTAAAGGAATAACAGAAAAAATGACGCATTAAATGGGTGCAATATTGAGGAAACTTACCGTATTAAGTCATAGACAATGGACACAACTAGAAAAATACCGCACAAATATGCCAGTACTAACCATAGTGTTAACCCCCAAAGAAGTAAAACAAATCCAAAGAGTATATTTAACTTCTGGGTTACGTTCAAATCTGTCAAAATGCAATATAGGCTAAATAAGTCGCTATAAACGCTGTTAGACTGGGCAACTTCGATCCACTGGCTTCGCAAAATTATGTTTGTTGCTGTAACAACCACTTGGCCTCGTTTGCATGTTCGCCTCGGCCCAGCATCACCTCGGTTTTTCTTGGCGCGTGAACGACTGAGCTAGACTGGGTCAAAGCTACCCTTGTGTTAAGGGCGCAGTCCATTGTTTTCTAGCGCAAATATACTTGTTGTCATGACAACTAAAGCGTCTCGTTGGGATTCTTTTCACCCGGAGCTTTGCGATGGAATGTCACGCGGGAAACAAAATTCTTACGTCATGCAGAGTTACCTGTTGGTTGTACCTTGCAGCTGCGGGGAATAGCAGAGGCCATTTTAATATTGTAGAAGGTTGTAATGCTTTTCATGTTGTTACACTGCACGTACCAAGCACCTCTGCACCTAAAGCACTAGCTTTGTCACTGAGCCGAGTGAGCTATCCGCACAGCACAATTGAGGTGCAACTAGATTCATGGACACCAAATCGACTTCAGATGACGAGGTTTGAGCACTTATGCCGCGCGCTTTAGACACGATAGATAGACGCGAATTCATCCACACCCTCGCGTCTGTAACATGTTGATGCTTTCTTTTCTAGGTTCGGACCTTGTTAGTGAGCGGCTTGCCAATCGATGTAAAACCTCGTGAAATATACCTCCTTTTCCGAGGCTTCAAGGTACGCTGCACTTTCTTCGGCTCAAGTGTTTTGTCGCTAATATTTTTAGTACAACATCATTTACCGCTAGGCTGAAAATGCCGAAAAGCAGGACATTAATCTTGAATGGGATTCGACAGACGTATATCTGAAATTTCGCTAAACAAATAAACTAAGTATATGAAGAGCTAAGTAAACTTATTTTACTCTCAAACGGATTAAATGACTGTAGTGTTTTGAAATCGATTTGAGCAAGGTCGCAGAGTTCAACCAGGTATTGAAAGAAACAAATGAATATTGAAAAGCGTTCGTTTCCCTTCGAGAAGCTTTAATCGTATAATAGCACGATGCTATTTTCGCCTGAGCCTCACGACTGCGACATAAGAGTTGATAGCAATAGTTGAAACAACTTTATGCAACTTTGTGTCCCCTGCTTAGTTAGCAGCACAGATTTTGGCAAATATTTGCTCGCGCCGCCATTATGGAAACGTACAAGATTTATGGCGTTAAGCTAACTCATCTTATATGCAAACAAAAAACAAAAAAGCGGCTTATGAGCTCTCTTATTATTCACAGGAATGTACACGGCCCTAAACTTTACAAACAAACGAAAAACTCTTGCGGAGTTTGTCTAAATCGAAAACTGCCGAATTGCATTCAAAACGAAGAGGTTTGGCAATTTTGCGCAGATAATTGAAACGTAGTTGTAATTATCACTTCGCTATGCTCACGATTTCTGGAGTAATTAAAGACAAGGGAAGCTAATTAGGTGCTCAAAAAGAATAGACAAAATTTGAAAGCGGCATGTGGTTAGAACATTTGCATGGAAGGTGATTACTTGGCGACCAAGTTGGTCGAATTAGAACCACATCTGTTCCAGATCCACTTCGTAAACCAACTTAACGGTTTAGCTTCGTTTAAGTTCAGGCTGCGATGCATGTCTGAATAAAACTGTTTACGCCTGAATGTAAATCATACAACATTACCGCGATTGACTGAGAAGTACACGACGAAAACAAAACTATCGTAAATACTCAATTGACGAACTTGGGACCGTAGACCTCCCATTAGTCAACAGTTGAAAAGAATTAATTTGTGCTAGGCCCGACTTCGCTAAGTAGATAACGGTTTATTCACTAGACATCGAAATTCCCACAATACGGTTTTAGTGATACCAGAGCAAAGCTATTGTTATTCTGAATTGATCAGTCTTCTTCAAAATATTGCATTCTCCTAGCTTCAGTCTTCTTTAATGACAAGATCAACTATACATACCGTACTCAAATTCTAACCAATACAAAGAATAGGTATGGTCAAATATCCATTTCGATAACTCGATCGTTTCCGTACATCATAATATAACACATGTAATTTGGTTGTTCAAGATTGATTTTTGCGTTGAAGCCCAAATGTACATATATCCTGTGTCTTTTAACACTGGCTTAGCATATAACATTTATTGTGTATGCGTTTTTTTCGAGAAGATTTATCTCATTCTACGAAACTGACGCGACAATAGATGTTTTGAAAATACGTATTCAAGCTTGTTTTGAATTGATTTGCTTCCCTTCTTTGCATAAAACATAATGTTGCATTTACGAATATTACATTCTTGAAGATCGGTCTGATATCAGATCAATTAACAACGACTCAGTATCGCCATAGCAAAGAGTGTTAAGATATTTGTATGACTCTCGTTTCAAACCGAATCCTGACAACCAACAAGTTTTGTATTCGCTTTTTCTCCGTTGCGGTTATAATAATTCAAATGTAAGTAACTGTATTTAGAGAAGGTTTTAATTCAAGGTCTTCGCGAAAATATTTTTTTTCGCAACCCACGCCAGCAAGATAATACTGTATTCAGAGCATGTAATTTTCGCCCAGCATGGAAGGCTATAAGAAAGTTTCTTTTTTATTATTGTTCCAGGGTTATGAAGGATCACTACTTAAACTTACAGACAAACAGGTATGAATAATAATGAACATAGCAGGGTGGAAAAAAGAATTATTAGGCCAACTTTGTCTCATTCTGTTGAACAATATATTAGAACCCTATGATTCTCATTTCTTATTAACTCTGGGCTAAATGGACTTGCAATGGGTGTAGCATTTGAGTCTTAAACAACTTGAATCATAAAAATTCTAATACAGAGTGAAGTAGTAAATTTAGTATTTTTTTGTAAAAAAGGACAACTATTCGTAAGTGATTTCCTTTTGTGCTGTCGAATCTTCCAACATTCTACTTTTGGGCGGAACTTTCAATCTCCAACCTCGCTGATTTCTGGGCCGGTTCGAAACTTTGAATTTATTCCATAATAACGGAAGACTTTCAGAAATTCCCTCTAAGCTGTCACAAAATTATATCTTAAGGAGTTTTGAAGTTAAAACCTTTCAACTCCTTTTGTGGGGGGTAATTAACAACGTTAATCCATCCTTAAGTCCTCAGTGTGAGTGTTGGTGTTATATGAATTTCTTTAACAAAACATTCTGAGGCAAGCTGTGCACATGAAAAGTTCTAGATGCTTTGACGCAAAGAAAACTTCTTAGCGATATAATTGCTATCCCACGCGGTCTTGTCAAGGCTACCGAATTCTCTGTGTGGGGAACTGTTTCAGTAAAGATGTCGAAGGCTCTTTAGGTTTAGTTCTTTTTTTGTTGTTGTTTAATTCACTTCCTATGTACCAATTAGAAGCAAAGCCCGTAGGAAAAGAGCCGAAAAGCTAGCCTCTTTATCTTTACCTTTGACTCTCCCTACAGCATGATTTAAATACTGGAAAATAAAATTTCTGACACAGTTAAACCATCGATCATTACGACCAACTTCTAACAATCTTGTCTATCGTTTTTCTTTTTGTTATTACAACAGGGAAAACCTTCGGTAAGTGTAACAGTACTTATCATTTAATTCTCTTCGTAAAACTTAAAGTTTATTTATTGTGTCACTACAAAAAAATGCTCTCATCTGATTGGCTCCTGATCAATCATAATTAATTAGCAGATTAAAGATAAGCAGCATTTGTTGTTAGCCAATAGATTTAACTAAGTAGTCAGAGCTAACAAAGTCCAAATTACTCTGGCTGAACAAAGTTAACACCAACAAACTGTTGATAAAAGAATACGAAATTAGTTGGTCATTGTGGTTTCTTGTGATATTTATCGACTGATTAATACTTATCCATTGATTTACAAAGCTAGGAAACTAATTCAGTAAAATTTTCCGATACAACAAATCCAGAGGTAAAACATTTTAGTACCCGAGCAAATGTAATTGGTAAGCGTTTCACTGTGTCACATTATATTTAACAATTATTCGCCGAAGGTGAGGTGAATATCGTCGAATAATCCCCGAGACGAAGTCGAGGGGATTATTCGACAATATTCACCGAACCTGAGGCGAATAATTGTTTTAGTATAATTTCAGAGCTGAACAACAGAGAATTTTCTAAAATCATAACATTTTAGTAACATTTATTAACATTTTATTTTAACATTTTATACAAACCGCGTAGAGCGGTTTATATAGCGTCATATAAGGAACCGCTCGACCAATCAGATTGCTGGAAACTCTTTGCTCAGCTCTGAAATTATACTAAAACGTGTATTCTTAAGTAATTTCTGTCTCAAAATAATTTATCTCTTGACTTCAGCCTGTGGCATTTGTCACCTTTGAAAGCAGAGAGGAGGCAGAAGAGGCTAAAACTTCGTTGCAAGTAAGAAAAACAAATAACAATTTCTTCGTTTTTGCTCCCTACATCGATAAACGACACAATAGAGCTTTCACCAGAATAAAGAGCATTTATCAATCTAAATCAATTTTAAACTCGAATTTCTACTTATTGTGATTTCGTGGCTTTATTGCCTCTAAGGTATACTTTTGGAATTATTCATTTATTTGCGATATTTAGACAGGCTGGCCCAGTTCAGCTTTCAAGCTGGGTCAAATGCGGGCCTGTATAAACAATAACAAGGCCAAATCATTACAATGGGAGCTACGTTCCCTACTCTTTGCGAAAAGAGTGTTTGTCGCTTTAACGTCCCCTGCTAACCGAACAGCAGTCCAGCACCCTACGACATGAGCAAACAGCAGACCAAGTGGGGGGGAAAGGTGACAAGTACGCACCGATTTCGAAGTTGATATCTGTGAACAACAAGTCTAAGATGTTGAACTATGCAAAAAAAAATATATACGTGTATTCCCAGGATTATTGTTTTAATCCAGTATTTACATCCTTGCGGTGGTAAAACTGATTTCCAACAGTTCTGTTTCTTTTCTTAGTTTACTTTGCATCATTTCAGTGACCATTTATGCCTTTTGTTTTTGTTAAGGGTGTGCGATTCGATCCAGATGTCTCGCAAACGCTTCGTTTGGAGTTTGCTCGGTCCAATACCAAGGTATCCAAGCCGGTAAATAGACAGGCCGTGTTAACTTCTGTTCCGCCCTTTTTCCCTCGAGAGCCCCCGCTCAGTAAGTACTAAGTTCAAATACATCACGATCTATTAACAAGTCAAGGACTAAATAGTTTGATTCCAATTACACCTAAATGTAATTTCAGCAACGTTGCCAAAAGGAAAAACAAAACAAACAGCCAAATAGGAGTTTATTAGCACATAAAACGACCCTCTGGCTACATGCTTGACAGCTGAACAAATTTTCACAGAGTTTGCACCCAAAAATGTTTTCAAGCTTCTTGAGAGCATCAGATATATACCCCATTCACACCAGCAAAACGTGTTCAGTTAACTGAAGGAAAATCAGAAACAGAGAACTGCATGCACGACTGAATTTGCCATAGGGTTCAAGTAGTCAGTAACTTGATTTTCGATCTGCCAAAGTTAAAGTCGTCCAACATTAGTTTAACCAGCTTCTGTGAATAAAATAATAATTTGAAACCGAGTCTAACAAAACAACTTTAAAACAGGTTTAAGCTCGTTGGTTATTTCAAGCGATTTCAAAATTTAAAAAAAAAAAACAAATGATGCTATTTTTTAATTAATGTGATTTTGCATATTCCTCTTTTCTTTTTTCTGTAACAAGGTTACTACAACTATATGTATCTCTAGCCGACATTTTAGGTAATATCCCTATAATCTATGAGAAATTACTTATCTCTAATTGCGTCTTTTGTTTTTTGTTTTTGCTTTTGTTTTTTCTTTATTTTTTTGGTCAGTGCATACTGAGCTTGCTGCAGCAGGATTTCTGCCGGGACCAGAACCAAGCATAGCATACCCCGCGTGAGTAGAGTAAAACCAGAGTCTAGATTTCTAAGTGAGAATCAAGATTAAAAGTGTTTTATTACATTGTTGCCTTACACAATGACTTTTGCAGAACTAACTATTTTAGAAAAAAAAATAACCAATAGTTTGTACGGATCCACCCGAATGATAGAGAAAATATTTTGCAGATTTTTGAGTCTTACGCTTTGTTCGCATTGGTGAAGTGTCGTGGCGCGGAGCCCTTTCTGTCCCAAACCCGTATCCCGTTAAGAAAAGTGCAAAAAATTTTATCCTGATAACATCTCGTAATGCGATTGATTCTCTTCTTTGTCTTCTCGTCCCAACAGACCAATATTTAGTGACATCATGGCAGCTACAGCTCAACACACTTTTAATCATCATCCGTCCAGTATACTGCAGCTTCAAGTGAGTCTTACTAACTCTATCTGACGTCTTTGAATCTAAAAAGGAGAACATCAGTTTTTGGAAAGCATTCTTTTAAACATAATTTTTTTTTGGGTAATGAAGATTTAAACCAATCGATGGGTGAATTTATTAAGTCCGTCTCCTGCAATAGCAAGTACGGTTCTTAAGGAAAGACCACCGTGGAAGTCTCTGGAAGCCTTTCTATTTCGTTGGTATTAATGTGCTCCAGTCGAAGGAAATCCAATTAATCGAATTTCCCCTGACAATTAATCGATTTCAAGCACAAATGAGACTTCGAAATACATACTTAATGTCATAATTCATTCATTATGTTTCAAAACGAAGAAACGATATAGTAGGGTTCTCAATATTTTGTACTTTGTTTCTGCTTTTTTAGGCGTTCCCGCAGCACCATCCCATCATTCCAGCACTAGCGTCACCTACATCTCTACATCATATGGCCAGCCTGGGAAATCCTCCATGCTCAACGCTCTTTGTAGCCAACCTTGGGAAGGGGAGCTCCGAACAAGAGCTAAGAGAACTTTTTGCTGAGTAAGTTGACATTTCATTGAACTGCTCTTTGAATCAGGTCTGTAAACAATGAAGAGAGTTTCAGTTCCAGCTCCTTAAATGTTTCGTGACTTGATGATGAACTGTGAAGTGACTTCAACTCCGCAGCATTCAAAATATATTTTTTGCATGACGTAGTTTCGATTCAAACAAACTTCATTCACATTTCTGCACGAGAGTATGACAATGAGTTTCTCTTTCTTTTCTTTTTCTTTTTTTTTTTTTTTTCTTGTAGCTTGCCGGGCTTTCGACGCTTAAAAATGCACAGTAAAGGGAGCAGCCCTGTCTGTTTCGTGGAATATCTGGTATTTCTCGACATGTTTTTCTTTCTTTCTTTATTTGGTTATCGTTTTAACTCCCACGCGATACATACAAAGGACAAACATTACACAACTCAAAGGATAAACGCAAGGACACAAATGTCTCCAGAAAAAAAAATTACTTTTGCATTGCACTCGTGATGATATTTGCGACAACCATATCATTGGTAATCACTCCTTTTTCCGCTTTTTTTTTTCAGGATATATTCACGGCGACTCATGCTATGAATTCTCTTCGAGGGTGAGTGTGTTTTTCAGTTGCCACTCATTCGGTCTATGTAATAACGAGGTACAGCTGTACATGTAAATTTATCTCGGAGGGAAAAAGACAACTTCACTCACCAAGTCTCTCTGGTGATTATCAGAGCCATCGCAATTTTCTCTCATCGTCCTTTTTTTTAGAATGATAAGAAAAAAATGCGTATAGTTGCTATTCTGAATAAAAAAAAATGCACTTCTGTATTATAATCGCGAGGTGATTATGGCGAGATAGGGATAATCTTCGTCCAATCACCCTTCCCAGCTATTAATAATTAACCTGGGCAATCGTACCAAAATACGTTATCATTGAAGTAAAATTTGAGAGTCATTAATTAATCTAAACTAGGTCCTGAAAATAACCATTTTAATAAACACAGAGTTTTTATATATGTTATTTCTCAATTTAATTTCTTTTTTTTTTGTACCTATATACAGTCATATCATGCAGTCTTCCTCAGAAAAAGGAGGCATTAGGATAGAGTACGCAAAAACCAAAATGGGCGAGGTACATGAATAACTCTTTGTGTCACGCCCTCGTGTGTAGGTAAATTTATCTATGTGTTACACATGTCACGTTGTGCCTTTTTGTTGCGTTTTTTTTTTTGTTTTGAATTTAGTTTATATTTTTCTACCATTCATCAACCACCATCACTGAAACCAACGCTACTATTACTTATGGTTGCCATTTCATCGCCTTCATCATAGCAATGTTCAATTGAGTGTCGATAGTAATCCAAGCCGGTGCATTAGTTTTGCTTAACTTTGCCCTGTGATCGGTTCAGTAAAACTCGTGTCACTCTCTTGACCAATCAGATACAAAATTTAAATCAATCACGACTTGGTCGGCCGTGTTTTCCCGCGCTTTGGGCAGTTTTGCTTGGTTTTACTTTGAGTTCTTATTGGCTCGTTAGGGTATTTCCCTTTCTGCTGACTGGCTACTGAAAGTACTTCGGTTTTGTTTTCATCATGATAACCACTCAGTCTGACCTCAAACATCTCTGCTTACTTTCATTTGTCTGATTTAATCAAGAATATCAAAGCTCCTACATTTGTGCGTTAAATCACATTGTAGCTACAGCTGTGAGTAACCCATGCAGCCACTCTTTTAGTTTTGTTTTTACCATTATATATTGTGAAATAATAGGAGAAGAAATCATTAACAGTATTGCAGGTATCTTTGTGTTGCACATGTCACGTTGTGCCTTTTTGTTGCGTTGTGCTCTTTTTTTACTTTGTTTTGAATTTAGTTTATACTTTTCTACCATTTATCAACTACCATTACTAAAACCAACGCTACTATTACTCATGCTACAAGCAGAAGACAACACACAAACAAATTTTCTGCCTCTAAGGAAACTTAGAAACTCATTTACAACTCCAGTAGCCTAAAAAAAAATCCCTTTTTCTCTGAAGATTTATGTTTTACAAAGATTCAAACATGTATCTTGGTAGGTGTTTTAAAATTGTTTGCGAAAAGACATCTAAGCTTTGTTTATTTGACAGCTGCTAATGTCGCTTTCCCTTCTTGTCCTTTTTGCAGGTTAGGATTGATGGTATGGTCGCAATACCGATGCAATATTGACACAGTATCGAAAAATGAATTTTCCACTCCAAAAGCTGCTTCGGCGAGAAATAGGAGAAAAATTCCAAGAAATAATCTAAGACGATAGTGATGTTTTAGAAGATATTTGTTAAGAGTACCAAAACTTATCTCTCCTTGAAACAGATCGAGCTAATTTATAGTAGTGTTTACTTGTAAAAAGGAACTGAAAATCAGATAACTAAGTATTTATGAAGGAATAGGGCTTTTTGCCGACACTAAAGGGTCTACGGATTTTTTTTTAGAAATAACTAATATTTATGACCCTGTTGCGCCGGCGAGAAAAACCGTTTTCTTCTCATAATCATAAAAAAGTAATTTTCGCGTTTAGCAGAAAGGCTTAAGTTGGAATGTAACATAGGTTAAAAAAAAAAGTGAGAATCTTTTTTCTGAAAATATTATATTTCCTTCTTATTTTTAGTTTTATTTTTCACAAGTGCCTATTTTTCTTAACTAGATGGGAACAAAAATTTTCCCAATTCCGACAAACGAAGGAACAATTTTTTAACTTATTTGAAAAGAGGTGTGATTTGTTTTCATCTGTTTCCAGGTTTCACTCCAGATTGTAAATTATTATTAATATTTTACATTAAAGTATTGAATGAAACCAATATTTCTCAGTGTTTTTACTCGCTTATCGCTGGATGGAGATCACCTTTAATCTATTTATCTTTGCTTCCCATTTATCTTTGATCAGCCTTTGGTAGACGTCTGAGCAATTAACTATGTATACAAACAGGTAAATTAAAGGTGTTCTACGTTGCCTTTTTGGCTGCGTATTCGAACTAGGACAACCCTATGTTCACACTCCTTTCTATGATACGCGAAACATATGCAATGGGTACCTCGAGAACAAGAACTTTGGGAATTCTTAGAGAAGTATATGATCCATCGACAATATTGCGATGGCAGTTTCGGTTGTTTAATAAAATGCACACAACCTTTTTTCAACGCATTATAAGCACTTTTGAAATACATTTTTAATTCACAATTTGGTTTCGTCTATGGGGACTTGCTCATTTATTACTGATTACTTACAGACTATGAATTAATCAAAATATGAAAATAAAGAAGATCAAAAAACGGTTGGGGTTGTATTTTTATAGAGCCTAATTATTGTATGTAGTGGTTTCAAACGTTTGAAAACAAAAGCAAATGGAATTAGTCCTTCTGGGGATAAAAAGAGCCTTTCCTCTGAAAAGTAAACTTCTATCTTGAGCTGAGACAAATTAATGAAGTAATAATGCATTTTCTATACCTGTATGGGAATCATGTCTAGATATTCTGGAATGAAAAATATGAAATTACTCAAAAATTCACACAGGACAGATAAGCATTTTTAAAATGTTTCATCTCAACCATCTCTATGGTTGAAACTTAGGCTTTTTTTCAACGCCTTTTGGAATTTGATTCATGCAAACTGGGTGAAATACAGTTTTACTCTCTGGCATAGTTCTTTCAATTCCCTTAAATTTAAACTCAATATATTTAAGATCAGATAATTTATGTTGGTATATGTGAAAATTCTCATTCAATTCATTTACCCTTTTGCCTTTCTAACCTCAGTTATTTCCCCAGCTTAAACCAGATTGCTATAAACTTGTTTCCTACCGAGAAACAGCGCCATACTTGTGAGAGAAAGCTCAGCGAATCAGCAGTCCAGATCATAGCAATATATATGTTCTCATCTGATACAGAAGGGCTTTGATTTTCATTTTAAAGATCTTCAACAGATGCAGGCTGTTTGAACAGTGAAATGACTCTGGACAGCTCGTTGAACTCTCGATCAGGCAAATAGATGAGGGATCTCATAAGTTCTATTTTCGCTGGACAGCTTGAAATTTAAATTGAAATTGAGTTTAAAAAAAAACCGAAATCAAGCTTATATGTTTTCCAACCTTATTGTTAGAGAAAAATCATGCCACTGAATTATTACCACATAACTAGATATACAGGGGCTGGAATTTCAGAAAGCTAATATGACGAGATTGCTTATCGCTTTATCGGCTTTCAAATATAAAACTATTACTGACCTTCATTTCGTGGCTTGTTTTAATTTATCAACGTTAGATTAACTGAATTTGGCTACAACGAGGTAGCTTAGAGCCATTAGATCAAAAATAACGATATGGACAAACCAAACAGAGGCCGTAATTTTTTTACATTCATTTCCAATTGCTGATTTTTATCATTATAAATTTAGTAGGAAAGTTGTAGAAAACCCCTTTAAATATGAAAACCAGTAAAGAAACTCAGCGGGGAGTCGTTGTTTTACCAGATCCAATTCTGAAAACTGTTTTTGTTACAAAAGATCACCTTTCTATTTGTGATTGCTTTTGTAATTTACTTTTATTATATTTACAATTCTTAAATTCAAATGAAAAAAAACGTGATTTCATTTCAGAAATCATTGCACGTACAGAGAGAACTGTTTTCTTTTTTTCGTGCGGTTTAGAATTGATGGATGAGGTACATTTTTTCGTTGAGTAACTGTAAGATACTATCTCGTTTGAATCTCTTCATTTAAGAGCAAAAAATGCGTTGATTTCTTCCTGGGTAACAGCGGATAAAAATCGATAAAATGTAAGAAGGAATTACCAAAAATAATGCATTTGAGTAGTCTTCGAAATGATGCGCGCGCGTTTTTAATATTTTTGTTTTTTCGATGAAGGTCGAGAACTTGGTATAGCGCACGTATGTGTTTTCTGTGTCAAAATCTATACGGATTCATACCCCCGCCTTTGTGAAAAGATGCGAGGAATCGAATGGAGGAGTTTAAGACTCGATGATCCGTACTGAAATGACAGCTAAAATGATGATATGTCAATAAAAGATGAGCTGTAAGCTGAAAGTATTCCCTGCAACTGAATAAATAGCCGATACGTACAGGTTTCGCTACTTTGTATTTTCGCTTGAAATTAAGTCTATACGTAGATTTACTGCATAGCTTTTGGTACTTCGACGTTGCTAGGCTACCTATTTCCGATTCGATTTACCGAAATCACACACAGGCACAAAAAAAATCCGGTATTTATCTGCAAACTATTTCTTGATCAGAATTATAAAACATTATGTTTCCAAGAGTAGAAAAAGCTTTTGAATATTTAAACATAGGTGCGGCTAGCTTTAGACATTTAAATTCTGTTTCCCAGCTGCAAAAACAACGGTGTGAGGTCGCCATTTAATCTTTCAAATTATGCGATTGTTGAATACGCTCGATTCCTTTTTATGTTTCTATCTGAACATTGTTTCTTTTTTCTGTCTTACTTTCTTGTTGCTATCAACGACAGTTTATCTAAAAGTACGTGTTAAACAATCTTCCTTACAGTTAATTTCAAGGCACTCACAGCGTTTGAGAAATGAAATTATTCTAACGTTCCATATAGCAGTATAAATAAAAATAATCCCAGTTAAATTATGCATAGCCCAATCTATTTTTCGCACCAATTTTTCGTCGCCTTGAGACTCGAAAAAAGACATTGAAAGAACTCTGAGTAATTCAATTTAATTTCCCTCTCCGCTCAAGTAACACAAAGCATTACCAGTATTTATCTTTCGCTGATGATAACTGTTGATCTTGGTTCTTTTAAAAGTGTTTTTCCGTGGAAAGCACTGCCAATGAAAACCGCCAAAAATTCTTGAGCGATTATTTGATGAGGCCTTTATGAAAGGCATCATTGTCACTCCCACGTATTGACAACTCCCACAAATCATTGTTTTCATGACATCTATGAATTTGTAAATGTAAATCTCGTTCTACAGTCTATAAACAGTTGGCCTTGACTGTTTACACTGAGACCAAGGTGGTTTAAAGTGCTCCAAATTATATTATTTTCACGCAAGGCTACTCCAGTCGGAGCAATCGTCACCTCATTCGGCGCGATCGTTCTTGGCGTTAAGGACGTGGTCAACTCGATGACTCAAATTAACTTCTCCATATGAACGTTACAAGATCATGATCTCTTCGTTCTTCGAGGGCCCTCGCTGAGATTTTACTCCACAGAGTCAAAGATTATGTTGATTTTAACGGCGTAATCCCAAAGGTTTACTGGTACTTTTGGCTCAGTCGAGATTAACCTTTGCGCTTTGGAATGGAGAAGGGAAAATTATCCAGTTCAGCGTATGACGATTCGTCGAAGCAATGTCAGAAATTCGAGGGAGAATCAATAAATTTGGCTAAAAAGATCTTAAATACAGTTGACAAGGACCTCGTCATCCCGAAATTATCCTTCTTTTTCTTTTTCATGGCAACCGGCGCTTTCCTTCCGTATCTTGGCGTGTTTTACAAGCAGTTGTGGCTTACAGCTCGACAGTCTGGTATTCTGCTTGGAGTTCGCCCTTTTGTGAAAATGTTATGCTCGCCTCTCTGGGGAATGGTCACGGATGTATGCAACAAGCCGAAGCTCATTCTACTTGTGTCCATTCTGGGAACAACTGTGGCCCATTTCTCGCAAAGTATAGTCTCGCCGTTTCATTTGCCTTGCTACCCTGATGTGAACATAACAAACTTTAGCAAAATCCGGTCTAACTTATTCGCTCAATACTCGGTTGATCGATCGTCGCGACAAAGTGGCTTCCCAGCCACTAATACAATTTGGCAAGGAAAGTCTCTCACAAAAGGTGCTGACGAAACAAATGAATCATCAGCTGAAAATGCCAGTATTGCAGTTCGAGGGTCTGTGGCGACAGAAAAATTCCTAATAGATAATGATTTTGACAAACAGAAAGAGCTTGGGAAGGACATGCATCCCTTCGATTATGGGACAGCTCAGAAAGAAAGCATGGAAAACACCGGACCAAGGCACGAAGATAAGCCGCGACAAATCACTGAGGCAAATTCCAAAATATTGACAAAGAACAAGAAACGCAAGAATCCTAACATGAAGAATGATTTCCGTGTGAAAGATAATCAAAGTATTTTTGCAACTTTGCTGGTTATTGTGTTTCTAGGTGAATTTATTGCTGCACCAGCACCAATGCTGACTGATAGCGGAACACTCGGTATTCTGAGTGGCAGGGAACACCAATACGGCCGACAAAGGCTGTTTGGTTCCGTAGGCTGGGGAATCGGTTCTTTGTTGTCAGGGGCTGTGGTGACAGCTTTCAATTCATGCCCTTACGAAGACAGTATAAACTATGTGTCGTGCTTTTACGTATTTGCTGGAGCGATGATTCTCGACTTCTTTGTCGGCCTGTTCTTCAATTTCGTACCAGCGCCCTCTAAACAGGATGTTTCTAATATGGAAAACGAGTTTTTCAAGGGACTTAAGATATTTTATAACCTGAAGAATGGAGCCTTCATCTGCACACTGCTGTTCCTTGGGTTCTCCCACAGCCTGCAGCTCTCTTTCTTGTTTTGGTTCCTTCAAGACATTGGCGGAACACCGATCCTTTTCACCATCATTGTTGCAGTAAATTGCCTGTCTGAGGTAGTGATGTTCTTCCTTGCCACTTACTTTGTGCAGAAGATCGGCCACGACGCCGTCCTCTATACAGGGCTTGCCTGCTATGGGTTACGATTTTTGCTCTACTCGTACCTTAATGAACCATGGTGGGTTTTGCCCTTAGAAGCTTTGCAAGGCTTCACATACGGAGGAGTTTGGACAGCAAGTGTTGCATAGGTTGGACCGCAACCAGGTGAGGAAAACAGTTTGTGTTCAGCAATTTGTTACAAGAGTCGCCTGTTTATTTAAGATAAAATATCACGCTTCCCAAGATTCGATTTCCTAAGCTTAAGCAAGTTTCGAATCTAGTTACCATTATTTCGATTTAATATTTCATTTTTTGTTTGATTACCTACGTGCTCCAGAGAAATAGAGAAAGCTAAATTTTCAAAAGCTGACCGCATCGCCCCAATATTTTTTGTTCTTTTCAAAAGAAATAAGATCAAACAAAACTAGTTATTCTCCCGGTCAGATTATTTGTTTTCGTTTCCGTTATAAGATACCGGACCTCATGCAAGGAAGTTGTAAACGCCAACGTAGAAAATTTTCAGTGGTCAATAATTTAAAAACACCAGTCACTCATTCACTTGAACTGGATCAAAAAGACCTTCCCGGATATTAGATTAACATTTAAGGTAAAGAAACTGTCATGAAATTGGAAACATTTTCCAGGTTGAAGGAAAATTTAAGTTTTTTAGTGCATATAGAGCCCTAAAAATGTTTCTTATTTATAAAGAAGTTTTAATTAGTGTCAAAGCTAAGGAAACTTTTTTTGTGAGTCACCACCTCTAAACATAAATGAGATTCTTAAATTTTGCAACACCCGCTCATCACACTTAGAGGAAAATTTACTTTTTAAGCTAATCAATTTGTCTAAGAACTAAAAACCATTAACTGTATCACTAAACCAACACCTCATGCCATAATGAAGCTTTGGCCCTAACGAATAAACTAAGCCGCCGTTATTAAAATTACTAGCTATTATTCAAATTAGTTTACCCTCGAACGCAGAGGCTCGTTTCAATAGGTGTAGGGTTTTTGTTAAGATTTTCTAATCTAGTTTCAGCTTAACTACACGCCCTTTTCATCTAGTTGGAATTATTTTGATGGAATTTCCGTGGGCGCGTTGCTAAGATACTATATGAATGACTTTATTCTTTAATTTCAAACTGAACTGAGGTAGTGAATAATTGATACTTTCTTCATAAGCTTAATCCTGCTTTTTCTTTTTAAACCACTCATCAACTCATTTCTTGTCTTTTCCGGAGCATCTGGTTTCTTTACCCTAGTTCTTTTTCAAAGGAAGTTAATTGATATTCTTTCCATCTGATTTGCATCGCCTGCCTCCCCCACATAAAACCAATTATAAAAGGCATCGTTTATAGGCCGTATGCTTTATAATTTAGCTGTCTTGGCCGCTTGTTAATAAGTAATGGCGAAGAAAATTTTCTTTCCTTTAGAGATTGCAAATCTTCATACAAGCGGAGAAAAAAATCATTTTCAAATATTTTCTCTCAATTATTTTTTTCCAATTCAAACTGAACAAGACAACCCCGGAAAGCTAAAAAAATCTAATTTACAGTTTTAACGAATTTCTGAAACGAATACTTAGAATGAGGTGAAAAAAGCAATTTTCAACACTTTAACAATTAGCCGCAGTTGGTGTTTCCGTGAAGTTTCAGTACATTTATCTGTTATATCGATGATATTGAACAAGAGTCTCTGGCCCCCATGAGAAATATGCGAGGAGACCCGCGGTTGGTCTATGATAGAGCTGACCAGATTTGCGTGATCGTTGGCAAACAGGCTTTCTCCACAAAAAACCCTTATCAAAAGAATATTTTGTAAAGATTTTTAAGTAAGGAAGCTCATATATCTGAAAATTTAACAAATCAGTTGAAGTTATCTTCATCACAGTGATTTTACTAAGATTCTTATAAAATATGTCGAATTTAAAACAAAAATCTTGTCTAAGGTATGGTCAGTGTGTGAAAGAAGCTCGCGTTACAATTTCCCGTCTTAACATTCAGCTTTTTTTTAATCTGGTATCTTCATTGAAGTTCAGATCTGAACCACGGCATCGCATCGCGTGCAAAGTGTGGCCATGTGGTTTCTTATCGATCATCGGTTTTTTTATGGTCATCATCACGAAATATCAAGTCAAGCATAGTGCAGAAAAACCAAAGAAACATTCCCAAAAAAAATACAACAAGCAATTGCGTAAAAAAAAAAAAGATCATTATTTATTTCACTTGTTGCTGGATAACAAAACACTTCACAGATCAACGAGCAAAGTTGATTTTCATCTAGTAAATTATTTTGTCTGTTAATTATACAGTAACAAAAACAATTTTTCCGATTACATTTGTTATGATATCAAGGCTTTCAAGATTTAGCTGATTGAAATCAACCTTGACCTTGAATATCCAATAGCTCACGAAAATCTCATCTGGTACGATAAGACTATAAGAAAATAAAGTTCTTTTTTGATTCACTCTACTCTTTATTTATTTCCAGGCTCCGGAGCTACTATCCAAGGCATAATTCACGGGGTGTACTGGGGTCTAGGTATGGCAGTGGGCGGAGTCATTGGTGGGTTGATGGTTCACTCGATTGGCGCACGTTTGACATTTCGCCTTGAAGCGGCTTTGTCCTTTGCAATTCTTGTTCTGTTCTTCGCGATCAACAATTTCCATCAAAAAAGTTCTCAATATTCTCAGATTCCCTCTGAGCCTGTTCAGGACCCAGACGATGACCAAGAGAGTGCTATAGATGAAGACAGAACAGGGGACGCTAAATGAAGTAATTTATCCACAAAATTTTAGTTATCTACTAATTTATTTGACTTATTTATTCATTAGAACTCATTGACATAAGAATTTCTCAAGGGATTATAAAATATTAGGGTAATTATGTTTTAAAAAGTTTCCAGAGGAATACAGTATATTATTTTTAAATCATTATAAATTTCGATATCCAGGGAAACGTTTTGATTTTTGTAAGCAAATATGGAACAGAACAAAATAAGGTTAACTGAACATCATGCTAAATATATTCGGAATGCACAAGTTCGTTTTTATCAAACATTTTACCTTTATTTTCTGTTAACACATTTCAGATAAAGTTTGATCTATGCTTTGCCATAAGCAAAACTATAATTGTGACTTTACCACTGAAGAAAGAAAAAAAAATGGAAATTATCATTTGAATTTTTGAATTATTGAGGAACTCTATCAAAACAGGTATTAGACGGTATTACGTTCACTGAATTCTTAACTGCCTCCTCGATTTTGTGAGAGGGAAAAATATGGAATTAGTGAAAACATTTAACAGGTTACATTTGTTATTTTAAATGAATTATCCAAGGGGCAGATAAATCATGAATCTAATTTATAATACCTCTGTTTATGCTTGGTTTCAATAGCAAATCCTACACCCAATATCTTGGGATTGGTACATCATAGGGTTAGTACGAAAGTAAAATTTGTACGATCTATCATTCTTCCTGTATAAGTGTTAAGATTTCCTTAAACATCTCTCCAGTTCAAAACTGAGCAGTTTTTTCGTCGTTTCCAAGATAAATCCATCCATAAGCAGCCGGAAAAATCTCAGTCAGATCGAAAAGGAAGGTTTTGATAATGTTAATGGTGTTATGTGTAATTATGCATTTCTGTAGTAAATAAGTTTCTGTCGTTAGTGTACTTGTGAAAATTCGCAGATATATGTAGACTGACTTTCACAAAGAAGAATTTTCTAATCTTTGGAAGAGGGTGCAGATCGAGGCATTAAATTTAGTATGTGGAAAACAGAAGTGCTTTAAATATCTACGATACATGTACCGTACAACCAACAAATCGGGAAAAAAGTAGGCAAATTTTCTATGGAATATATCAAAAGACCTGTGTTATGCACTTCTCTGCATATTGAAAAATGAAAACTGTTCGCGACCCGCCAATATTGCTATTATTTGTCTCGTTACGCATCTCTGAATAAAGTGCCGCTTACAGTGTGGGCCAATTATCTTTTGTTACAATTAGTGTAACATCTGATGACCAAACTGTTAGTTCTCAGGATAAGTATAAGCCATATTTTCTCGTGCTTCTAATTTTGGAAAGTTCCCTGCTGGACAGGTGCACGTGCTTACATAAACTTTTCTTCTGGATAAGGGGGTAGCTTGTTTTAGGCGCTAATTTAACGAGGCTCGATCATAGTGCAAGGAGAAAAAAGGAGGAGTGTTTAATACGATTCAAGATGTGTCTGTTACGGGAGAAGAGAGTTCTGTTTTTATTTTCTTTTTTGAACCATACTTGCCTTGAACGAAAACCGGCGGAAAAAAAACCACTAAATGCAAGTTACAGACCTCCTCCTTTTATCGTCTAAAAGGCTATTGTCGCCCAGAATAGACAAGTTTTAAAGAGTTTGTTAGGTCGATAGCCAATTAATTTTTAAATTTGACTTATTATTGTCTAGAAGATGATGAAAGGGATTTACCAACCGCCGAAGAGAATTTGAATGGCGAAAATTTCTTGCTTTCGCCCTTCTCATCGGTGCTCGAGTCATCATTAATAAAAGTCTTTGATTTCAGTTTGAGAAAGAAGTTATTGGTTTCTTTCTTAGTTTTTATTTTCAGCCGATGATAAAATTATTGGGGAAGGGGAATGCTGGCAAAGATTTCCGGGCTACTAGAAAGGAGCTAGAGGAGAAGGTGACATGTGAAACTAGCCGAACGTCGATGATCAATTTTTCTGCCTTACAGAAGCTTAAAATATTACTCGTCTCGGGAATTTTTTTCAGACTATGCAGGATTCGGAGCAGCTCCATTACTTCGACTGCAACGCAATGGTCAAACGTCTGCGCAAGTGAGCATGTACTATATATCATTGAAACGATAACAAAATGGCCCGTAAACTTGCTTCTAAACTGGCAGAACCAAGTTGCCTTACTGGAGCTAAAAACAAATATACTGAAGCAAGAAAGTCACGAAGTTTCAGTATTCATTTCAAACATGACCGCTAGGTCTTGTTCATAGCAGTTGCTCTGGGTACACAATCGTATATTTGGCGTAAGCAAGACACATACCGGTATCCCTAAATTTTCGGGAGAGCCCCAAGAAATTTTGTCGCGATTGAGGGATCAGTCATGTCATTATTCACCACCTTCGAAGGGGGGTCGCCGAGAGAGTATATAAGAGAAATTACAGAAAATCTACTGCCGTTTAACTGCTAAAGAGGGTAGAACATAACAGAGCCTTAAGGGGGGATCAAGCGAATTATATCGTGTCACAACCAAAATCCT